GAAAAAGGGAGCCACCAACGACGACAAAACAGGAGGAACCCGACGGCAAGTCTAGAGTTTTGCTAGCGGCGGCGGCGCCAAGGTCTCGCCGGCAAGAATAGTAAAATCCCTGAACCTATTTTTATTTTGTTTTCTTGTAGATTTTTGGGTTTCGATTTCTGATTTGCTTTCTTTATTCAAACTTTTTAGATTTTAGGATGGCAAATAGAGAGGGTAAAAAGGGCCGCCGCCAGCAATCCCAGATATTATCGGCGATGATAGCAATGGAGATAAGGGAACAAAGAATGAATTTCTCGATTCAAGTTTTTTCAAGATTTCAAAAATGATAGGCGATTTCCTCTTATACTCTACTCTTATGGCTACAAAAGGGGGCTTTTGAAAGTGGAGAATGGATTTGAAATTGATCTCCTCTTAGTCAATTTGTGGGGCTTTTAAGAGGGCACGGTTTTGGGTTTGTATGGGTTGCTGTGATGGTGAGGGATTTTGTTTGGTGGTTTTGGTATTTTGGGACTAATGATTTGTTTATTCCATTTGGTTTAATTTGAATGATCTAGATGTTGGTGTGTTGAGTGTTTGATTCTAGAAATGGATAGTGTCTGTCTTTTATGATGGGTTTGAAATTTGGGGACTTTTCTTGGCTGGGAATTGTCCATTGTTTTCTGGTTTATTATGCTTGCTAAATCTGAGTTTGACATTAGTTTGTCTAAATGTAAAAAATATATTAAGATAGTCGATCGTAGTCTCATATGGATACGTCGTCCACGGCTGAGAGTACATGTCTATATGAACCATGTGGGATAGCAGAGCATCCCATGCAGCATCAAAACTCTCAGGAATCCGAATGATATATCCACCAGGTGCCTCTGGTCGGTCTGCTTGCTGAGGACGCGAAGGGGGAGGCGGTACCATCTGTCGGTATCCAAACTGTCGGAGGCAACGGGCTAGATCATAGAACTTGCCTATGTCAGCGAACCGGATGACTCCAGTGTACAAAGAGCGACGCACTGCCTGGATGCCTCTGATGGAAAGGTGTCCAAAACACATCAGAAGGGGTCAGGCTGTCAAGAGCTCGACGGTAGAACGCCAACCTCACACTAGGATCAGCCACAGAACCAAGTGCCGACTGCCCAATCCATCATGAAGCCCAAGCATCATCAGGTCCAACGGCAGGTGGCTCGAAGTGAGATGGCCTGAAACCCGGAAAGTACTCGTAGATCCAACACTGCCGAAGTGTGAGACAACCAGCCACCCCCTGGCACTAGCACGAGACGCCTAACCAAGGTATCTGTACAACCAAGAAAGTGTACCTGACGCCCAACTGTACTGATCTAACTCCTCCAACTCGTCCAAAAATAGGTTCACCACCGGCCAAAACCTGTCTCTACTATTGTCCACAAACAAAGTGGACCCCAACAGCAACAACAAGTACGACTGGCTCTGTCACATGTGTCCCGTTCACCTGCAAGTATCTGGACGCCATCTTCGCAAGAAAACCACTCTTCTCGTACCACTTACCCCTATTACCATATCCAGGGGCCTCCGAACGACCACTCAAATGCTCCGAGTTCATCCCAAGAAGCGCACATAAACCCACCTCCGGATGGTCAAGGTGCGCAGAACTCCTACTCTTCATTCGTCCCTCAACAGGAATCTGCAGTAAGTACTGAACATCGTGGAGGAGGATCGTCATCTCTCCAAAAGGCAAGTGGAAGGTGTTCGTGTCTGGCTGCCACCTCTCCACAAAAGCTGAGTTCAAAGCCTCGCCAATCGCTATCTTGCGGAACATAGAGTAGATCAGGTGCTGGAGACCTGACTGCTGAACCAGATCATCCGCCTCAACATGACTAAACACGTAGCTACTTAGATAATCAACCGCCGATGTACGGCTATAGCAACTGATGACCCCTCGATCTCCAACCCCCGTCCAAAGCGCATAGGCAGCGTGGCCACGGAAGCTCCTAATGAGGCTAGGATCCGTAGGTCCACCAGGACACTCACCAACAAGCTTCCACGGTGGAGGACCACTCGAACGTCCTCCCCTACACCGTCCAGTCTCCGAGCTCTCTGTCTCCTCACGAACAGGTGGTACGAATCCCCAGCTCGGTCCCTATAAATAACAGGACGTGATGTTGCCGTACAAGACGGCACTCGTCCATGTCCACGCGTAGGAGGAGGGACCTCGATATCCTCATCAGTATCGTCCTCATCAAAATCAGCCAAGACCACTCTCGATGCAGCACCCTGGTTCCTCCCATGGGAACCAGACGCCCGTGATGCCGAACGAGAAACTACAGTAGGAGCCTCTAAATCATCCTCCCTTAAATTTGCCTCTGACTGATGTCCAATATCTCGAGAGCGCTTCTTCTCCTTATTCTTCTTAGGCACCTTCCTTCGTGTTGATGCATCAACAACCCTACCATTGAATCTATACAACTCACTCCCACCCGCATCATCCATATCTAATTTTCTACAAATTTACACAATATCATACTTAGATGCGCACTAATTAATTAAATTTCTAATGTACTATTAACATTAATTGTTAATTAATCACAAATTAATTAATTTTCTATTAACTAATGTACTGAATATTAACATTAATTGTTAAATCAATTCTTAATTAATTAATTTTCTATTAACTAATCTAAGTAATTAAACATTCATACACCTATTACAAAAAAAATATTTATACACCAACTTAAATAAATATTAAAACTTATAGCTATTTTCTATTAACTAATTAAGTAATTTTTTATTGACTAATTAATTATCATATTAAATTAAATTAAATACAAAAAACGACCGGGCCGAAAAACTTTTGCGGCCAGTGCGCCACCGGGCTAAAAACATTTTGCGGTCGGGGCGACGCCCAGCCGAAAATATCTTTCGGCCCGACGTCGCCTCGGCCGCAAATTTTTTTCCGCCGGCCGACGAACACGCCGCCCGAAAAATTTTGGCAGCGTGTTCGGCGACCAGCCGAAAAAAATTTGCGGCCGAGGCGCCGTCGGGCCGAAAGAATTCGGAGGCGTTCAGGCCGCAATTATTTTTCGGCCCGCCGTGCTTTTCGCCGGAAAATTGGAAATCTTGCCGGAAAACTGGAAAACTTGCCGGAAAAAGTAAACTTACTTGTTTTCCGACGATTGAGGGCGACGGAGGAACGGTGCCGGCGACGGAGGCACTGGGCTCGTCAACAGAAGTTTTTGTTGGAATGAGTCAAATGTTAATGGTATCCGAATTTATAGAATGAAAGGAAGGCAAAATTCAAAATTTGAATTCAATTTTTTTTTTAGTTGGCGGCAAATAGCATTTTGGTTGGCGGCAAATAGCCGTTCACTTTGAAAGTGGAGAATGTGTTTGAAATTGATTTCTTCTTAGTTAATTTGTGGGGTTTTTAAGACGACACGATTTTGGGTTTGTATGGGTTGCTGTGATGGTGAGGGATTTTGTTTGGTGGTTTTGGTATTTTGGTATTAATGATTGGTTTATTCCATTTGGGTTATTCCGTCAGGATGTTGGTGTTTTGAGTGCTTGATTCTGGAAATGGATAGTGTCTGTCTTTTTTATGATGGGTTTGAAATTTGGGGACTTTTCTTGGATTGAAATCGTTTATTGTTTTCTGGTTTATTATGCTTGCTAAATCTGAGTTTGACATTAGCTTGTTATGATATAAGTGGTGGAATACAATAAACAGAGTGTTTAAGCCGAGGGAAAAAATGCAATCATAGAGAATACATATCTAGATGAAATAGATGTAGACAAAGATGAAATGAACTCAAGTATGGAAATGTTAAAGTGAAATGGATGAAATGTATTTATGCAAAAAGTAGGAAACCTCAAAATATGTCATCTTGTATTTTGCTTGGAGTGGATTGAGTATCATTCCTTATAACATTATTAAGGCCAGTTTGTAATTTGACTGGGATTGATTTAGTTCGGTGTCGTTTTAAATAAACTTGGTCATCTTGTAGTTTAATTGGGATTGATTGAGTTTTGATTTTGGAAAGAACTCATGATGAAATGGTTTAAAGATGATGGTGGTTGGTTTTAGTTGGCTACCGACCTTTACACTTGTAGTTTGATGATGTTTCTGACCATCCTTTGTGGTCTTCTTCATTATTATTTTTTTGTTGATGTTGGCGGCAGTGGTAGGATTCTTGTGGTGAGGGATGTTTTTATCCTTTTGGGCTTTTTTTTGGGCTAATACCACTCGAAATACCATCCTTTAGCGAAAGTGCCATTAATATTACATCGTTTTCTATATGCCATTTGTATACTAAAATTTTTTCTCCATTAGTTTGCCCATTAAACATAACAGTGCGACTCTTCAACGCCTAGTCAACGCTTAATAGGATCCTACGTGGCTCGCTGACGTGGCTTATTTACTGAAATGAAAAAAAACAAGTAAAAATAAAAACAATTCTGACCTCCGAGTCCTTCCCCCTCCACCAATCTCATCTTCTTCTCCAAATTCCCCCCCCCCAAAAAAAAGCCATCACAGCTCCGCCTCTGCCACCGCCTCTGCAACCAGCAAATCCACCATGCCCACCACAGCCGCCGCTCCAGCTGTCACCCCAACCTTTTCCCCGGTCACCGTCCTTCCTCCCAAGACCATCCCATCTCGTTCCACTTCAACCCACTCCACACTACACCCAAAGCAGCTCCGAGCCCTCTAGTCCCTCAGAATTCCAACGGCCAAAGACCCATGCGCCCAGCCTTCCCCATTCCGCCACGTAGTCTCCCTCCACCTCTCCAATTGCTCCAACCGCGTTTCCCTCTCCTTCACCGCCCTCAAGTCCCTCTCCACCCTCCAGTCTCTCTCCTTCACCGACTGCCCCATTATCCCTATCCGTTTCCCTTCAGATCTCGCCCTCGCCCTCCGCTTTTTCACTTGTGCGCATTCTCTCAAACACCTCACGGGCGTCTGGCTCTCCCACTTCGTCAACCTCACCGTAGCCGATGTCCCCGTCAGCGCCAGCGGGCTCTACGTCGTCATCGGGAATATGCACAAGCTCCGGTCACTCACCATCACGAATGCGAATCTCACGGGCTCGATTCCGAAGCAATTGGTCAAGAATCTCGCCCGTGTGGATCTTTCGGGCAACAAGCTTAAAGGAAGGATACCCAGTTCAATTGCAATCCTCGAGAATCTAGAAACCCTCAATCAGGTAGGAAGATCTCCTTTCGGCCCAGGTGATCCATTGTTTCCCAAACCAACTGTTCCGCCTCCTTCTTCTAGACAACAATCGGCTCCTCCGGCTGCTTATTCACCGGATTCGGTGGCGATTGGGTAGGAGGAATGGCAGAGTAATGCTGCTGCTGCGGCGGCGGCCTGTGTGGAGGTTTGGGATTGGGGGTTTCGGAGGAGAGGCCCGATGCTGTAAAAAAGATAGGAGTGGGCGGGGTTAAAAGAATTTTTATTTTGTAATAAAATAATAAATAATAAATAAATAATATTTTTAAAATTTTTAATCATTTTTTCAAACGTGGCATCCACGTGTCGCCTACGTGGACACAAAGTGGGCCACCGTCAGGTCAACCGTCATTTTTAACAGTCAACAGAAATTCGCGTAACACAAATGACACAAACCCTTAATATATTGGAATACTTTTGTGTTTATTGAAAGCATGTAATATAAATGGCACTTTCGATAAAGGATGGTATTTCTAGTGGTATTACCCCTTTTTTTTACTTCTATTTGTATTCTGGTTTCGAGTAAGAGGTGGAAGAAGAATAAAGGAAGAGGCGAAGGAAGCAAGCAAGTGTCCGTTAGAAGAAGGGTGCTAGGAAGTTTTCTTGTATGTCTGTATCTGCTTTTCTATTTGGAATTTTGAGGAAGAAGGAGCAGAAGGAAGGATGGAAGCGGCAGTGAGAAGAAAAGGCAAAGGGAATGTTGTTGTCTCCGTCCCCTTCCCAAGAGCTGAAGGGCTCTTTTTAAAGTAAAAAAACTGCATAAGTGGCACGATGTAATTGGCTTTGAGGGTATGTAGGAGCCGCCCTCTAGTGGTAAGTAGGTTGTGGATTGGGTTGGATCGAACCAGCTTGGTTCCGATGGTATGGATCGGGTCGGTTCAGGCAGGGTTCAACCAATTTGATTGAATTGGAACAGTTGACTTTGGGCATGACTTGCATAGTGGACTTTTTGGGCTATGTTGACTTGGGCTTGGCTTTTGAATTAGGCTTAGGCTATAGAATTTCGCTTGTGGCTTGTGGCCTAATGTATTAGAAATTTTTGTTTATTATAATTAAATGTAGGGGTTATTTGTTCTAATTGTGTATTATTTGTTAATTGTGATTTCCTATTGGCAACGCTTATTGTAATGCAATTACTCAATTAGTTTTATTTTTTTTGTTCCAAAAATGGCTTGGGATACAGTCAGTAACCAATTGTTACTGATCTGTGAGTAACTCACCCGTAGCCGTTGATCTAGGACGGAGCGATCATGTGGTTGGGAATGATGCGGGATGTGGAGGGGTATTTTTGTCCGCTTTTTGAATTTTTAATTGTTTCTTTTTTTTTTAAATTTGCTCAGCATTTATTAATTAGCTTTGCATGGAGGAGAGAGAGTTAGTGTCTTATCTCTGTAGCTCTCTTTTCCTCTTTCTTCGTTCCTTTCTCTCTGCGAAACTCCTTCTTCTCTAGATCTAATCTCTTATTATGTTCTTCATTTTTTCTCTCTAGCAATCTCTTTTTTTCTTTGTTCCTTTCTCTCTTCTCATCTCCTTCTTCTCTAGATCTAATCTCTTATTATGTTCTTCATTTTTTCTCTATAGCAATCGATAAAGGAAAGGTGCAGCCTCCTTTTTTCAAGTACTCGGCTTCAAAATTGGTGACGCTCCATATCGACCAAGAGGGGACAGATCAAGGTGAGTCGAGTTTGCATGTTTTGGTTTTTGTTTATGGATTTTCAATTCCAATCTTCCTCTTTTTTTCTTCTTTTACGGGTCGTTTGCATCATGGATTTGAAAAATGAGGGTTTTGATAAAACCTGGGTTTTGGAAAACCATGGATATATGATGGATTTGGTGGCATTATGGATTTGAACAAGTCTATTGTTTGCTTGATGGATTTGATTATGGACTTTGTTTGATTAGATTTGTGGATATTAAATACAAATTACCTAGTTACCCTTATTTAATTATATTTTTATATTATAATCCAAATCTTTCATTTAAAACTAATCCAAAACATAGAAAGAAATTTTAAACTCTTTACCACTATGTGGATTAGTAATTCAACTACAAATATAGAAATGTATTACAATTTGGCACTAATTAACAATTCATCTTGGCACTAATTAAAAATTCATCTAATAATCCTTCATAAAAAAACAATTCATCTAATAATGTACGCAATATTATGTATCAATTGCAGTCAATTGCTCGCTTTATTGCTACAACTCATCATCTTCTTGCTAACTCACCGATGTGGAATCTGACAATCAATCAAATAATAATGTACAAGATGAGCATAAAGTGTTTCTAGGTGAATCTAACAAATCACATATACATTCATATTTAAATAAAATACGATATAACAGAATGAAATGATAACTTCTCATATTTATAAAAATACGAAATTATAAAAGTTTACAGTTGCATGACCATTGAATTAAAGTAGGACAAATTTGTAATTAAAGAAATAATTAAGGATAGAAAGGTAATTTACCATCATGGATTGTAATCCATCACCCAAATCCCACCTCAAGAGGTGGAACTTCCAAGTCCGTGGGGCCCACGGATTTGGAACCCCAAAAGTGGTGGGCCTCACAAATTCCATCTCCCTAATTCCCTAAGGCAAACGATGGATTTCGGTTCAAGTCCATGATGGATATATTTCCATGACCAAATCCATGACCAAAACCCTCAAGCAAACGACCCCTTAGTGTTCTCGTTTGTGGCGGAGGAAACAATTGGAGGAAGAAGAAAGGAATGTGAAGTACGTCTTAGTTTTATGTATATTGTTGTTACCATACTATACCGTGGTGGTATTGTGTGGTAACAAAGAAGAAGTGACTCCACTTCCAACCCACTATCCTAAAGACAAAGAAGAAGTGACTCCACTTCCAATCCACTCAATTTGGTTATGGAAAGAAGACCACAAATTACATATTTTTCTTTTTATTAAAAATGTAATTTTGTTATGACATGTGACATAATCATATAAGTGTCCACATTGTCATCATTATGTTTTTCAATTTATTTACCAAAAGGGGACTCCATTTCTCTATAAAAGGGGACTCCCTTCACTTGTTGTAGGTAGAGTTGTTTTGAGTGGGAATTGCTCTCTTGCAAAACTTCCTCCCATCATCTTCTCTCAAGAATTCCTGTGTAAGAAGTCTATCAAATTATCAAGTTTTACTTATCTTTTTCAAATCATCTTCAAATTTTATTTATTACATCTAGTTACCACACAATACCATATGGTTACCACATTTTACCATGAAAGTAGAGTGTGGTAATCGACATCAATTCAGAGAAAGGAGATTCAGAAGACAATGAAGGGGACAAGAAAGCGAAGAAAGTTGGAATTATATATATACCACACTATACCATATGGTAATGTGCGGTAACTAAATGTATTTTTATGCATACCATACCATGTTTTGCTATGGTCGAAGATGATGGGAATTATATTTATATTTGTTTTTAAATGGTTTTACATTCTCTTACCATGTGGTATTGTATGGTAATTATGATTATTTTATGGTCATTCGATTTACCATGTTCTACTATGGTGGTATTGTATGATAGTTAGATTTATAATTTTTTGTAACATGTTTTATCACGTTTTACCATGTGATATTGTATGGTAGTTAGATTTCTAATTTTATTTTAGCATTTATACCATATGGTATTGTATGGTAATTAGATTTGTAATTTTCTTTAGCATATTTTGCCATGTTTCACCATGGTAGTAGAAAGTGATAGTCATATTCATACTTGTAATTACCCTTCTTGGCAGAGAATTATTCATACTTGTTTTACCATGGAGTTGGGGTAGAGAGAACTGAGATTGTTGAATTCATATTTTTTTAGAGATAGAGTTAGTGTGCAGAGAGCATGTACTTTTTTTTCTCTCTTTTAGTTATAGATGGGAGAGAGAAGAAATAATTTAATTTTTCTTTTAACAATAGATAAAAGAGTGACAGAGGGAAACGTGTGGAGGAGGGGGAGTGGGGTCCACGTTCAGTCAAAAGTAGGTGTCAAGTAGTCAGCAAAAAATAAGGGGGTGGATGCAAATTACCCTACTGCCCCTCCTTGTTTCATTTAAATAAAAGGGACCGACTCAGATGCAGACACGTGGAGGATAGAGAAAGGGGTTACACACGATTACTGAGGATAGGGTTACTGACCTGATCCGGACCCTCCAAAAATGATGCTCAAGCAAATGAAGTTGGAAGTCAATTTTTTTGCAGCTCAAGTTAGTTATTGCTAAACATAACAGCCCAAATTTAGATAACCCGACCAATGAGCAAAAGCAAATTGTGTCTATGGAATATGCCAATTGTACATGTTTTAAACGTTAATAACGTAAAGAGATGTTTAAGAATGATTACTGCCAATTCAATACAAACCAAGTACTCTCTTAGCCAGGTGATAGAATTAGTAAAGCACCCGGACAAAATGTGGTGTCTACACTCTGCAAAGAGGCCATGGTCCAGCAGGCTAATGGGTCCAACACTTATAATCATTGTTCATTCGATAATGAGAGCTTCTATAGACATTTGTTTGATGTGGTTGTCGATTGTATTGACAGTTTTTGCATTGAAATCACGATTCGATGGATAGCTCTAACCAACATAATCAAAATAAGTTGCTTAGGATTCACATATAGTTCCACTTCCACAGTCTCATCCTGCATGATCGTCTTTACCAAACCACTGGCAGACAAATACTTGTGATATAGGTGGATTATTTTCCATATTCAAAAGATGGAGTTTCCTTCTCAACTCCTTTGTTTGTAAACTGATGGAAGTGAACGATCTTCCATTTCTCGAACTAGCTTGAGAACCATTGGAGCAAACCTCCTAGATCAATTTCAATATTTTCCAACCTTAGATGAAGGTGTTCCAGAGCGTGTAAATTTATCGCGATATGTCCCTCTCGACGGTATGATTTACCAACATTGTGGTATTGAAGTCTAGACCCTTTTTCTGAAGATGTCAAGAGTTGTTCTTGCCCAAACCCATGGTGATCCCATGATCTAAGAAGCTCTTGGATTCATTGTGAAGCCTTTTTCATAGTTTTGAAATTCATGCCTAAAGTGAGAACTATGGTCTCTTAAGTCAT